TTGGCCGTATTGAAAATACAAGTATATCCTATTGAGAAGATTTTTCAACAAGTGCAATTATGAAATTTGCTTTAGTTGGCGCAAAAGAGTAAACTGCTTATGCAATTATAATATGCAAGATTTTTTTGTTTGTTTGCCTATGTAGAAAGTTAACTAGGAAATATGAAATGTAATATTATCTTATGCGTATTATTGTAAACATCTGATAAAAATGTTAATTAAAGTTATATTTATTGTTAAAAGATTGTTATTTTTCTGAAAATTTCCTTCATTTAATTTTTGCATTACAATGGCAACAATCGACTAATTATTATACGATGCTATTTTTAGGAACGACAGTGCCGTATTCGACGTGCGTGTCAATGAAAATACCTCATCGTCTTGAGGTTGAAGTTGAAGGCTAATTATCCATTTAATTTTACCACAGTTCGTGTGTAATTTTTGCAAATGTTTATATTTCGCAACGAAGATAAATATTTATTATAAATCTAGACAACGTACCGGCAATACGATTTAATATTAAAACGATGGGAGATTCTATAATTTTTTATATAATCAATCCATATATAACAATTTAGTTAATATTTAGTTAAAAATAAATAAATTATTTGACTTTTTTTTCTCCTATGCAACATAAGATATATATATATATATATATATATATATATATATATATATACTAATACATCATTGTAATAATAAAATTAATAATAATTCATTGATTGTAATTTGTAACTCCGTTGAAGGTATATTAGACCAATATTTCTATTTCTGGTCATATAATACAGATTATTTAATACAAACTTCAAATTTATTGATATTTTTAGATCATTAATTGCAATTTGATAAATCCAAAATAAGTCAAATTTTTGTTAAAATATCCCTTTTTAAATGATTTATGATAAAAAAAAACTTCTTAGCTGAAATTTATCCATATATATATATATATATATATATATATATATATATTACTTTGAACATAAATGTTAATTCAAGCATTGAGATAAAAATTGAAAATAATATCTCTTTATTAAAAAGAAATAAATTATCTTCTTTCATTTTAAGCTGTTATAAAAGAATTCAGCATAGAGGGAAAAATTATAGCTTGGATAAGAAACTCGATTATAATTGGAAATTTGTTGCTATTAAAGAATTTTCAATCTTCCATATTTACTACATACTTATAATAATTAATAAAAACATTAAATCAATGATATTGATTTAATACTGAACAAATTTCATATTAAATTTGCACTTTTTACATGACAGTATATTCCGAATGGCCTTAACCCATGTCCATTTTATACACATTCGCTGTACATAAATCAAAATTTTAAATACCTTCGTATTAGCCACATCCATCTACGTTCGTTACAACCACAAACATAAATTTCAAGTATGCGAATGACTTTTTATACTTAAGGATTTCGCTCGTCGGTTGACCACGACCACAACAATGAATAATACATCACAAGCTGTGCCTTCAATAAAATCAGTTACCGAGCTTATTTATATACACTTTATACAACTTACACATACATTACGCTAAAATTTTAATAATTAATTTAATTAACGTTATTTATTTTCAATATTACCTCGATCCTTAAATTTCTTCTTTATAATGCATTATTTAAGTATTTTGTAAATTTGGATTTATAAGAATACTGAAATCCTTTTCTTACTACTAAATGAAATGTGATGCCGTGGGCAGAGTTTCAATTGTCCAAAAATTCAATGACTTTTACATCCTCTCATAATTTGTAATTGTTAAAAGATATTTTAATTCAAATTAATCAATTGCATTATTAAACTACAACTCTACTTGTTATTTCACTATGTTCATCTATTAAAGCGCTTTAACAATCCTTCATCGCATCGAGAGACAATTTGACGAATGTGAATGGGACGTATAAATGTACGTAATAATAATGAGCAACGAGATTTCCAAGCCGCTCGCGTTGAGCTTTGCCTTAAGCTTTGCGTTAAGCTTTGCGTCAAGTTGGGACGTGGATGTGGCTAATGTTGTCGTCGTTGTCGTCGTTGTCGTCGTTGGGTAACAATTATCGCCAAATTGTTCGCTGAAACGAATAATAATAATTAGGACGATGACAATGACGAGGCGAGTAAGCTTGGAGTTAAATGGAGGGAAAAAAGGCTTTAACGGTCAACTACTCGATTTACACGTGCTGGACTAGATTCTTTGCGGAGTAGGAGGTGGTTTGGTGAGGGATGGGAGGAGGAAGCGGACACACACGCTGACGCACGCACACGCGCACGCACGCATACGCAAAAAAAAAAAAAAAAGTCGATCGATCACCTTGCACCACCATTAAAGACGGACACCCGAGCACTGAACTTCATTCATCGAGACCATTATGCGTCACAATGACCGAGCCTCAATTGTTATGGCTATATGTGCGAAACATGTGCTTGCGAAAAAACTTGAAGCGAGGGTAAAATAACAGTGCCCGACCACTTGAAAAACGACGAGTTGCTCGGGTCGGTGCGGGGCAAGGATGGTTATTGGGAGTTGTCGATGGGGAGGGGGCGGGTAGGGGACGACGGAGGGAGCTCGGGAGCAGCCGACAATTCCTTAGATTTTCGTAAGATCGTCGCGCGATTTTAGCAGCGCTGGCACGACCTAGCCGCATCCCGACCAAATGAAGTTATTATTATTACCGGCTTTGCCCGCGACACCTTATTCCCTATAATTCCATGACAACTTGGAAAAATTATCATCGCCTTTGCCCTCTCGAATACCGCGGGATCCCCGGACGCTGTGACTCGGCCGTGATTTTCATTCCACCTCGTTGCCGCCAATTTTATTAAAACGAGTGCCCGTGCAACGACCAACCACTTTCCAGCATGAAGCTAATATTGCGCAGAATTGAAAAATTTCGCACACGATAGCCAGCTTCTTTAGGATTTCGTTCGTTTATATTTCCAGGGCAGTCATGCATGTCATAACAAGTGTATGCATATTCGAAACCGGCTTTAACTATAATGCGTGCGAAATATTCCTTGAACATTGTCGTATATTATTGGTTATTTAGTAATAAAAATATGGTCAAACATTTTTCATCTTTTAAGTGATAATAAATTATTAATATAATGGAATCGATTGTAACTTGGTCACAAATTTTTACGACCTCTTGCGAGGTCGGTAATAACAAAGTTATTGCGAGAATCTTGAAAGATGCTACGGAATATTTGCAAACTATTTCCGAAAATGACAAAGGTATTGTTCCTGCATTATTACACGTTACTTAATATATATGTATGTTTTTTTTTTTTTCTTTTTTCTTTCACGATATTAAACATTATTTATGTTTACTTGATATTTCATAAATCATTCATTAAAATGCTATAAGGGAAAAGGTTAATGTACAACAATTTTTATATTTTGCATATTATATTCATGACTCTGCCATTTGAAACACTTAAAAATTCTATTAATAATCTATTAATAATCTAGTTTTTTTTTTTTCTTTTCTTTTCTATAAAAATATTACATTATTTTAGGTTAGCAGGATTCATGAAGTTAAAGCATCAGTCTTCACACAATGCCTTTTTTAATTTTTTTCTTATTATTTTTTTATTTCTTATTTTAAAACAGTTATGTCTCATATTTATGTATTAAAATTAGTAAAAAGTTCATGTAGCCTGTTTTAAAAATCTATTTCTCAATATGTCACATTTAAGTTATGTCAACAGTCAGAATCATGTAAAAGTAATCATTTTGAGAATGGAAAATATTATCTAAATAATAATAATAACTTAAGATGACAAAGGAGTATCAATTCCGTATATAAAATTAATACTCTTTAGTTAATTCTTTAATCTGAAAATACTTTAATATATTTATGTCTTTACAGGAACAATTTTGGAAATACTTTTTGACAAAAAGAAAGGATTATTTAAATTTATTAATACCGTATTAGGAAAGCAAGAGTCACAAATGATAATTTTTAATAATTCGTTAAACGAGTCTTTCAAATTGATACAATTTATCATGGAATATTTCAAATCTTACTTCAAGCCTTATATTATGCAAACAAGGGTAAATAGTTTTAATTTTAGATGAATTGATTTTATTATAAGTAATTATTGATGCAATGATTACAGGATATTTGTTTAAGATGTGTCAAAATACATTGTACATTTAATATGAGGAAAATAGCTAGCGATACGTTAAAAAAATTGATACAATGTTTCCAAAATTATGAAATGAAATTGCATGAAATTATTCATGAATACAAAGGTATTTATTTAATAAATTTATTTGTAATATTCGCAAGCTGCAAATTAAGCCGGTAATCTCATTATATTAAGGATTCATTTTTCTATTTATTCCATATCAATCTAAAATTTCTTATACTCTTACTTTTTCATTAGTATTATCATCAAATCGTCGCATCGTTACATTTATTGACAAAATCATACCTTACACTTTTATATTTATGTTATTATTAAAAATTCAAGTTTGCATTAGCAATATTTATGATAAATTCATCAACATTAATAAAAGCAATTTATTTGGAGCTTTTGTCAATGAATTGTATATATACTTATTATTATTGTTTCAAGTAATTCAAAATTATCTATAATAAAATTAAATCACATTTGCATTAATAATACTAAAGGATCTGTAATTTGAATTTCTAGAAGAGAGCGTTCTGTTCAATGTTATTGGTGCAATCGCAAGATACTATCCTAAAACAAAAAATATGGATAAATTGGCTTCTCCAATATTTATGAAATTATTGTATGATTTACAACAACAGGTAATTAATTCTATTTTACTTTAATGCTAAAGTTATTAAAAAATTTGAAGTTGTACAATTTATTACAATTCACATCTCGCTATTGTGTATATTGAATATGGCATTTATTTTGTACACAATGATTTTATAAATACTTTGTACGTATTGCAGAGCAAATTGAGTGAACGTAAACAAGAAAAAGATGCCATAAGAAGTTACTTAGAATGCTTTATGGACATGATGATAAATTTCATACCGACGACAGAAAATGTGGAAATTCTTTATTTCGAACATATGTATGAAGTATTTTTATTATTGTGCAAGGTTCATAAATCCCAAGAAATTATAAACAATATCCTTTGCATTCTCAGTGCTCATATACAATACTTTTCATCTTTCATGTTCAAAGATCACGAAAAATGGCATGAATTTTTAAATATATTATTCAAGAATAGTTCGACATATAAAGTGACAGATACCTTAAGGGCATTTTATAAAATTATTCCTATTCACATTTCAGAAGATGAGCGCGAAGACATATTTATGGTAATAGAATGCACGTTTTTCTTTTATTTTAATAGCAATTGTGTCGATGATGAAATATATCAATGACCTTATTTTTTTCAGTATTTCAAAAACTATTTTATGTTAAATATCAATAATGTAAAATTGTCATCCGACGAATTGGGTTTAAACATCTTTGGTTTAGGACGACTTTCCATTGCATATAACAAATTCTCACCAACCGAGATAAATGAACTTTTTCAAATTATCTCTCATCAAGCATTATTGTATTCAGAAAAGTATAAAATCTTATCTCCTCTTTTTCCTTTTTTCTTTTTTTTCTTTTTTTTTCTTTTTTTTCTTTTTTATTACAAACTATCGAATACAATGAAAATTGTATCGTTTTTTTTTTTTTTTTTTTTTTTTTTTTTTTTTTTTTTTTTTTTTTTTTTTTTTTTTTTCAGAAGAGAGCAAGAAGATAAAAATATTCAATTACTGCCAGATTATTTACAAGCTCTATCCGAAATTTTAAATTACTTGCCAAGCATTTCTTTATATAAATTGAATATTATAATTAAGTTTAGTATATTGAATGTTAAGAAATTTGCAGAATTGAAAATAAGAAATCAAACCAATGCAATAGATGCGTTAAAAACCACATTTGTTAATATTAAACGATTGGAAAACAATTTACAGAGACAGTATTTTCATGCCTTATGTAAGTATAAATTTATTCATTGATTGATCTTTAGTAGTGGATGAGTAATTTTAGACGCATATAACTGATTCATAGTATGGTGTAGAATTTGATTATACGAGTTTTGTTTTTCTTCTTTTTTTCCATTTTTTCTTTTTCTTTTTTGTACATTATTATTATTTTTAATAAATTTATAACATTAACAATTCAATGAATAAAAAATGTATTTATATTTTAACAATTTTCTTTCAGTTTACGAAGGCACTTTATGGTCCTGTTCACACGCTTTATTTGTTGATATAGAGCTTCAACAAGAGATTAAAAATCTTTCAGAATATCCCCTTTGCTACAAAAATTATCTACCTCTTTGGCACTCATTATTCAAAATAGAAAATTATCAGTTAGAATTCATTCGACAAATTTTTTATGAATTAGTATCGGTTCTAATTTTATTCATCGATCAATTAAATCTCAACGTTAAGCCGAAGCAGAATAAATTTTTGTCCGACACCTCATTATCATTAAAAGCGGAAAATGAGGCTGACTTCAGATATTTTATAAATCTTGTAGATTTATATACACAAATTTTTGAAGAAATTAATATGGAATTATTAGAAAATCATGTAGAAAGAATTTTAAAATGCTTTATAAAGTCATCGTATAAATATCCAATGGTATCTGGATTTTATAAGCTCATAAAAGTTGTTTTCCGAAAGCCAAATATCTTCTGTGATTATGAAACTCGTGTCAGTGAGTTTACTCGTGAATTAATCCCTCAATATTTATCAGACGTTGTTCAACATATTTATAAATTTTCCGACGAATTACAATTATCTTGCATTGAATTAATTTTCAGCACACCAATATTTTTAATTACAGATAAAATTGATGTTATATCCGTTTTTAAAATTGCCTTTAAAGTTGGCTTAACCGATCCTTCGTTAGCTTTTTGTGCCTTGGAAACATTAAAAAATTGGACCAACAGTTTACAGAATGAAGACTTAATTGATTTTTATAAGAATGTTTTCGTGTACGTCGAGCCGTATCTTTCGAGCGAGGACTTTTCATTAGACGTAAATCAATATTCCAGAGAGATTAGAGACGAAAAAATTGAAGACGCAATTATTTTTAACGAGAAGAGTTTACAGAGGAAAATTCTGCAAATATGTTGTGCCCTTAATTGCGATTCCATACTCGAGGATAAGACATGCTCAGAAGCAGAAGCGTCTTGGAATATAAAGCATCTTCCGTTTGAATTGCTATTTCCCGATTCGCATGCAGAAATTTATCTCGACGTGTTTATCGAACGAATAAAAGATTTAATAGCAAATGGAAATAGAAAAACGAAGTTTTCAGCATGCGAATTGTTGCACACAATAATTACAATTATCTTAGGCAAAAAATTAATAGATCAATGTTTTAGTAAGAGTTTGTGCTCCACAGTTTTAAAACTTGGCTGTGAATCCGATAGTGTTATTAAAAATTTATATCATCCATTAGTAATGCAGTTGAGCCATTATTTAAGTTTGAAGCCAATACGAGAATCACAACTGTCTCAATTATTTATTGATTCATTATTCGAAGGTTTGATCGATGATTTGAACCCATCGTTAAGGGACTATTGTGGCGTTTGTTTAAAAGAATTCGTCGAGTGGACGATAAAACAATCGCCGGAATATGATAGCTCGAGTTTTAGTAAATTAGTTCAGCGAATCATTAATTTTAGCCTTTCTCCAACGAATAGTAAACGTTTAGGTGCAGCAATCGCTTTCAATCATTTATGCACGACTCTTGGTGGTAGCATAAGTATAATTAATAGGCATTGGCTGGAATTTTTATATGTATTTGTAAAGTCATTAGAAAAGTGCGATGATATTAGAATTATTAGTGCCATCAATAATGTAGAAAGTGTTATAAAAGTAACGCCCAATACGTTAAATGCAAAAAGTTTGCACAGAGAGAAACCACTTGGTTTTGCTAATGAGACATTAAAAAGTGCAACAATGTGGTTGTTCGAGCAGTGCGGATCATTAAATATACGATGTAGGCATAAAAGTATGGAACTTTTTGAAAATCTTTATTTATTTATACCCGGAAATAAGTCGATAGAAGAATTTTTTAACTCGCGGAGCGCAAGCTCTATCAATAGATTAGTTTTAAAAAATCTCGATAAAGATTTTGAATATTTTACCGCCAATCAAATACAAATTTTCTTAAAAAGCCTAGATTTTTATATTTGGGTGTTTAATAAAGGATTTTTGACGCCTGAGAGTGTTTTTGACGCTGAAGATGCTCAAGACGAAGTAAAGATATTCTTCCGGTTCTTCTCGAAATTTCTGTCTTTCGTTATTAATGAAAATATCGCAGACGCTTCGAGACTGCGAACAAATACGGCAAATGAAGCGGAAGAATTGGTTTATTTATTTAATAAGGCAATATTGGAAATTTTTCGATTTATATCGATAGTATTACTCGCAAAAGTATATATTCAACTTTGCACAAAAGATACAGGAACTTCTTTATTATTTTAAAATTGATATTTGCTTATTTAAAAATCGTAGCTTTATAAAATCAAAGAATTCGTTTAAATAATATACGACATTGCGGGTAACTCATGACTTAATTATATTGTCAATTTCTTAATGATGAAAGGCTACTTTTAATCGTTCGATTGTAGAAAAATTATGAAAATGCACGAAAAACAATAATATTTATTATTAAAGTCAATAATTTCGTGAAAAGAAAAACACACACACACACACACACACACACACATCATCATCATCATCATCATCATCATCGTCGTCGTCGTCATCGTCATCGTCGTCATCGTCATCATCATCATCATCATCATCATCATCATCATAATGATTAATTATTAAACTTTAACGATTAATGTTGAAAATATCATTTTTAGAAGAGTAAAAGGTGCCTATTTTGAAAACAATTTGTCAAATTATTTTATTCATTATAAACATTCATTTATAGAAAAAGGATTCGATCAATATTTTGGAAAATCTTTGTACCGACAATTTGTACATATTAATCGTTCGATTTACGCTGTATCCCCAGAAAATTGGATTAACCGCTAGGATATTACAAACAATCACGTCACAGCAGTTGGAAAACTGGTTCATTGAAATAATGAAACATTTGCCAGATGCTTACATATCGAAACTAACAAGCAATTTTTTGATCGAAAAAACAGAGGATTACATATTTTTTAATGATATTAACGATATTATAAATGTTAAAAGTGATACTTTACCATCCAAACATTTCATGCGAAATATAATTATATTAAAAAAATGTAAATTATTTAATTTCGAGGACGAAGTGCGTATTGCATTATTATACTTGATGATTAAATTATCAACGAAGTGACCAAGGGCGGTCGTTATACTTATTTTTTTTTAATTTTACATTTCAGCATCGTATTACAATCGCTTTTGCGAAAGAAAAGATTAGGATTATTTTTGAAGGGCTGAAAGCTGCATTAGATAATGGCGATGTACTTAAAAAAATCGACAATAACATAAGAATTTACTTAGAAGGCGTTGTACAGTTTTTCTTACTGGATTATCAGGTAGGCATTGTACGATGGTAATGTATAATATACGAGTGTGGGTGTGATTAATGGCAATTTTAATGTCTCCGAGCAAGGCAATTCATAAATAAAAGTCGTTCGAGCGTCCATTAATTTTGATGACGAAAAGCCGTTAAAGCGCATCTTTTAGCAAAATGCCGCCAGGCATTTCGTATTTTTCGTATTTTTCGTATTTTTCGTATTTTTCGTATTTTTCGTATTCAATGAAGACTTTGAGCTTCGAACGAGCAGCAATCTCATCTTTTTCGAATTTTCCTTTCAGCCCGAATTACTAGAAACGTTAATCGACCTCATCGTAAGCGGCTCCTCTCCTAGCGCTACGAGTACTTACGTGATCTCGCATCAAGAATATTTTCTAGATACGTTTAAAGTGCCTATATTCTCGTGCGTAATGAAGAATCCCGCCGATACGCTGAGGATATTGGACAAGAAGTTGGCGGAGCGGGGCCGCGGGCCGAGACGTGCCTGCTGATCGAGGAGCTCCTCATCTTCGCTCAGCACAACAGGAGCGAGAATTCGGAGACGCTGGCCGGCGAGGTGATCAAGCGTTGCGCGACCTACAGGTCGCACGTGGGTAACGTGGTACGTCGGGGCGACAGATTTTTCAACATGAATCGCGTGGCCGTGTCGCTATTGAGTAATTCGTCGACCGCGATCTACACCGAGGGTCTGCCCAATGCCTTGTACGCGTGGATCGTGGACGAGCTGAGCGCCGATACCGACTGCGACCGGAAGTTCGCGATAATGGAGAGCTTCCTGGTGTGCATGATCGACGAGGCGGGCCCTGCCAGCGCCAAAGTTCCGGACATTCTTGGGAAACTGAGGGATCCGGACTCGAGCGCTTGGCTCGAGAAGCTACGGACGAACGAGGTGGAGCGCTCACGTGCCGTGCAGTGTTTTCACGTGTTAGCGCGCCTCCTCGAGGTCACGAGGTCGAGCGTCATTTACGAGGGCTTGGCGCGTTATGCCGCGGGAGCTTGCGAGCTTCTGACGGCGGACAGCACGAGCAATTCCCTGCGCGTCTACCTCGCGATGATATCCGCGGAGAAGCTGCTCAAGTCCCTCCAGGCTATTTACGAGCTGTTCAAGATGCGTAGCTCGAGCGCGCGCGAGAGACTCGATCTCGTCCGGTACTTCATGCTCTCGACCCTCGAGTCCTGCAGGATCCCCGTACTCGGCAAATTTTACGAGCAGAACGCCCGCGAAATGGCGGATCTCGTGGCCGAGGCTCTGCCGGATAACGATCCCCTCGAGCGCCGCGGTGTCCTCGTAACCAAGATTGGCTGCTATCGGCTCCTCGAGCTTATGTTCTGCAAGCTCCCGCCTTCGATGATCATTATCCACGTCGTTATCGACGACAAGCACACGGACCTCGGCCTCTTCCTTGGCGAGCGAGCGATGGACGTGCGCAAGCTGGTGCCGCCCCATCAGGGCGCGGCGGATGAACGCGAGCTCACGAGGCTCTTGCACTGCGCGGCCTTCAATTTTTTCATTTCGATGGCCTGTGCCAGGCACGACGAGGCCATTTATCAAGCGATATTTCGCGAGGCCGACAACATGGACCAGTTCGTTTGGAGGAGGATCGTCGACTGCGAGAGAACGTACGAGCTGACGGAGGCGAATCACAGCTTCCGCTGGCAGCCGATAAGCATACGCCGAATGAGCGAGGAGGTGGCCCAGGTGGCCTCGTACGCCGCGCACTTCCGCAGGGATTCGCAACGCATGGCCGACTTGCAGATGATGGGCGAGGGCTCGAACGGCCGCCAATGGATCGGCCTCGAGTACGACGAGTTCAATGCGCACGAGTGCGCGGCAACCATCACCGGGGCGATCGTTCACCTCGTGAACAGTAAGGTGAGTCCGTTGCCCGCCGCCGACGAGGAGCCGCAAGAGGACCGGTTACCCGACTGGTTGGTGCACTTCCGCAAGGCTCTCGCCACGGACGCCGGTAACGTCAAGCTCTTCCTCATGCGAATAATCAGCAACACGAGAGCAGTCTTCGTACCCTATCTGAGATCGTTGTTTGTCGACCTAGTGGGCGCCCTGTGCCACTACCTTGCCGACAATTCGCTCAACTATCTTGTCAGGGACATGCTGCTGATAATTGCCGAGTCCAAGTACGAATTGCGGGAGAGCAATGAGGCGCGAGTGGCGCAGAAGCTCGTCGAGATAATGATCGAGCGCGTGTACGATCGACGCCACCAAGTGTACGATTACAATCTCGAGATGCTGGAGAGACTCGTGATCATTTGGAGCGACAGTCTCAAGTGCCCGGAGAATTTCGACACTCGAATCCAGAATTCGAACGTGGAGTTGACGACGAATGTCGTTCTCATCCTGCTGAGGCACGGCGTCGAGCCCAGGACTCTCATCGCCAAGCGCGAGATTCACGCGATGATTAGGCGATCGATGTTTATGTGGCAGGAGCCCATAACACCTCGAACTTTCGAGACACTCGGCTGGATCATACGCTACATCGAGAGCGACCAAAGGGATACACTGATCCAGAACGACCTGATCCAGCTGTTTACCGATATAAAGAGGTACACGGCCTTTCCAACTAGTAGTCTCGCTGCTATTGTCTGTGAAACTGTAATTTTAGCATTTTCAATGTGATTGTGCAATCGCAGCACATTCGATTCAATTCAAAATAAAAATAAACGTGCTTAGGCAAATCCAAGAGATTTTTAAAATTGTAAATCCCGTTCGTAGGTACGACGTCGATTATTGTGCGCGCCTTGTTTATCTTCTCTGCGTGGGTTGTTCACAATTGGCTGGGCGCGCGGAGCTGCGATCATTCGTAGATCCCCGGGTCGTCAATGACGACAAATGCCGAGCCGATTGTACGGAGCTGTTTTTGAAGGCGATGGATAAGCTGGAGGTGGACAGGCTCGCGTCCGACCTCGAGTACGTTAACCTTAAAGGAGTGTTACGCGACTGGGATTTCCCGTGCCTCGGCGCTGCATTCCAGATCGTTGACAAATTACTGGGACTCCTCGACGCTACTCAGCTTTTACCGTACGCCCAATTACTCGAGTCGTACGCTAAGCCCAAAGTACTCCTGGAGTACAAGAGGAATGCTTATGGCTTCTTTGTGAAGGCGTATGAGAAGCACGCGAGCACTGGGTAAGAATATCCTTTGGAACGCCTAATTCGCCGTATTTATTTAAATAATATACTCCCGTGTCCTGATAATTCAATATCCCTATTCCTACAGATTTTACGATTCGAGAAAATAAAAAAACAATAACAAAAAAACAATCGCTTAATACGATTTTTAAGTCATTTCTATAATTGACAGGTTGATTTTTTAATTTCAAAATTAGATGATAGGCCGGAAAATCTTTTGAATTTGACAACAAAGTATATAATTTAAATAAATATAATGAAGTATTAGAGACAATATCGTAGGATCGTGGCCATAGAAGAATAACGATGCCTTGGTGGTTAAACGTTTTGATGCCCCACAGAAAGCAGGACTCGGAGCCGCTTACGAAGCTATGTCTCGATGCTCTGATTGGCGGGACGGCGGATCCGAGCGACGAGATCCAGGACGCAGTGTTGGACTTCTGGCGCGTTGACGCCGGCATACCCCACGGCAGCGTCGAGCGTCTCAAGCATTTATTAGGCTTATACAGTCCCCGGGTCCATGCCTCCTACGCCCAATTCCTCGCGCTGATGATGCTCGAGCTCGCGGTCCAGGCTCCGGAGAGCGAGCGGCTGCTCTACGGCCGCCTCGTCCAGTGCCACTACGAGGACTATGAGATCGTGGCTTCGAGGACGCGACGCAGGAGTAAAACGCGCGCGCCCCTGTTTGCCCCGTCGCTGCTCGCGCAACTGGAGCGTGCCGTCGCCCAGCAAGGGAGCAGACTCAGGAGGTCCATTGAGAAGGAGAGGTCTCACGAGGCCGCGACACACGTCGTCCCTGAGACGATCCTCGAGCAGCTCGAAAGGCTTATGGGGTATTTTTACATTAATTTTTTGACGTCATTTTTTCTTAAAGTCGTCAATCATGACAATTGATATTAGATTAGCGACCCGATGAATGGTAAATTTATTTAACGGCTATTTCAAGACGAGCACACTTCGTTAACAAGCTTACGTCAACGAGAGTATTACGTTGGATCGATGACCTATCGCAAGTATTTATCTTATCCGCGGTATGATTGTGTATGTGCTGCACAGGTGCTACTAATCAGCATACACCCGATGTACATTACATGTTTAATTGGGCCAATTAATAACTAAACATAGGCACGGACTTGCCTTTACCTCACTTAATTCTACCAAATTGTAAAATATGTACTTTTACAGCGATATACACTCGAACTGCAAATTGCTAAAAACTTAATTAAACAAGGACAAACATTATTCATGTTCTTAGCTTATTTCAATTATTTATTTTATTGTCTTCTTAATTCAGCAATACAGCATTTTTATTTACAGTTCGTGTTGTCAAAGTATCAATACCGTTCATCAGAGAGATTAAAAATTTAAAGGTATAGATCATTATATGTCGATGAATAAATAAATATTTTTTTGTATCATTTGCTTCCTTTTACATAGGAATGAGTTTAATATTAAGGAAGGAGATTACATAGATACAGAGATTTCATAACAATTGATTTAGCTGCTTTTTTTGTTTTGTTTTTGTTTTTACATATTAATAAGATAATTAAGATAAAAAAAGAAAATAATAAAAAAAAAATAAATAAATAAAAAAAAAATAATAAAAAAAAAATATCAGACAATATCGAAGCAAATGCAGCCAAACCAGCTGATTTATAGGAATTAATCTAAATAGGATTTGTTTAACGTTGCCATAATTCGATTCGTTAGCTCGAAGACATCAGTAGCAGCGACGTCGTCAAGGGGACCGATACCCGATCCCTCGGAGAATATGCTCTCAAAACGGATTCCGGAAGACTCGAGTACCAAGACGTTCCACAATTCGTCTCGAAATGCCACTCAAGAGTATTTCCGGCGATTACGGAAGGAGGCGCGGACGCAGCGCGAGAGCGTGAAAATTAATCGCAAGTATAGACTCGGCAACTACCCGGACGTGGAGATATCGCAGTCGAGCGTGGTCGCAAGCCTTCAAGGTCTCGCGCGCGCCGACCACGACTTTGCAGCGGACCTCGTCGTTTCGCTCATCAGTGCCCTTGTGAAACTCAACCCGGGACTCCAGTCAACAGTCGAGGATACCTGCAAACGCGCGCTTAAACAGCCCAACGATTTCGCTGCCCCGGCATTAGAGATATTATTGCGCTGCGGGTCTAACGGCTACGACGCTCACGACGTAACGAAGATCGCTGAGTCGATGGGCTTACACGCATCGGGTAAGCAATAGCCAATCTCCAGTGTAAATTTTTTAATTATCATTATTTCGTTTTTACTTCGCGCCAAACCAGCTAATACTTGATTTAACTAGATTTTGAATTAAATGTAATATGTCGTTGATATTGACAAAAAATTTTGTTTACTCTATTCGTTTATCTACTTTATCAGTTAGACGAGCGCCACACTACGTAAAATAGTACTTATTGGCGTCATAAGGTGGTGAACGAAAATCGCTAATATTCAATAAGGAAAGCGACTCCTAAACATTTAGGCATAATTATTAAATTTGCAATTTCGATCGATACGAAAACTCTTCTCTCTCTCTCTCCCCCCCTCCGACAGCGATATTGCTGCTTGAAAAGAGCTCGATTCGTCGTAACGAGGCTTTGTACACAGTCCTTGAGAATAAAAAGTTAACGGGTGTGCTTGTATTGGAACACCGACTGCAGTTAGCCAAACTGTACAAGTGCATCGGTCATCGCGATGTCGTTAGTAACATCATCGAAGACTGGACATTACCCGCAATTTCGGATGACCTGCGACGTGGTTACGTGGCCGAGATGGAGGGTGACTGGAGCACGGCTGGGGCAGCCTATGAGAAGGGTTACGATGTCGAGGTCGGTGACGCTCAACAGCATTGCTTGGACGGCATGTTTCGGGTAAGACTGTTCATACCTTAATAAATCTTCCTACAATTTCACGAGGCTGGGATTATTGCAAAGCAAGTACGCGATATCACGTTAGAAAAAGTCTTTTTAAAAATCTCTTATTTGTCCACGTTTCTCTCGGGTTTATTCGTTTAGACCTAAACCACCTTCTTCTTGATTACAATTGATGTGAAAAAGTTGCGATAATTAATAAAATAATCTCACCTCGATAATGATTAAAATAAAAAAAAAAAAATAAAAAAAAAAAAAAGGGACATTAGTTTATCTCCATTTTTTCATCATTGTAAACAAAAATTAGTTTTTATTTACAATTGACAAAATGAAAATTCATTTTAGGGCAAAAAATTTGAGAACAATTTGAGAACTCCATTCTAGTACTTTCACAAGATTATAAAATCTTATGAAAATGCGAGTAGCCATTATTAAACATTTTATGTTTTACTTTTCTCCATTAAATTCATTTTATAGAGGTAACAGGGAGTTAAGGAAGGGAATGCTGACTGAAAATCTGTTAAAGAACTATTTATAAATTTATCTTTAACATTATACATTTCAAATTTAGAAATTTTTTATAAACTTAAACTGATCATAGCGACAATTATATATACCACATAAATTACTTTATTCAATTTTCCTTAATTTGTTATATTAAAATTCTTATGCTAATCAATGCTTAACTTTAACATAAAGAGCTTAATTTTTTCTTTATTAATTACGCATTGATAAAACATTACGTAAATATTATTTTGTAATTTTTCTGATAACCATTAATGAATATTGAACAATATTAAAATAGTTTTAATTAAAAGTGCTTACTTGGTATAATTTATTTATAAGGACTATTCGAATATGCCAATTCATTAGAATTAATTATTTTTCTTGCACCTTCAAATGTATTAATCGAACAAAAATCTACTCAATGGGATAACGGCAATATAAATTGATTCATGTGTAAATAAACTTTTCAAGCATCTTCTAATAATAAAATGCTCTAACGATATCGATACTTAATTTTCTTTATCGTTAATTAAAAAAGAAGAAGAAAAAAAACTTTTATTTTACATATCTATTGACAATATGTAATTCCAATGTTTTAAATGAATTAATAATAATAATAATAATAATAATAATAATAATAATAATAACAACAACGTGACACGCGTCATCTCAAATGACTACAAATCTTAATATGTTTCCTCTATCATTGCCAATTTCTTAATTTGAACTATATTTGAAATAATATAAAGTTTAGTAATTTAGTAAATTTAGTAAATTTTTTATAATAAATATTATTATATAATACAAGTATTTCATAATTGATTGTATATATTGGTATCTTTCAAGTGATAGCTTATCAACATTCTTATTACGTCAGTCGTAAGTTATTTATTATTTATTATATACAATTTATTATTATTATAATATTTATATTTATATTGTATTTATCAATTTGATGGATATAAACGTAAATAATTTTGAGATTTATTTTACAAACGAATTTGTTGTGAAAATAAGTTGAATATTTGAAGCAATCTACATTTTCTAAAAATAACCATCTAAAAAAAAAGCAATTGCGAGGAGCATTTATTCGATAAATATTATATAAGTTTTAATAGGTAAATTAAAATTAAATTATTTATTATCGTTGAATGTATATTTATGTTTGTTTAAAAAAAAAAAAAAACTACAACGACTATCTTTTTAAAATATTAGAAGAATAATGAAGCAATTATGAAGATTAATAATGATGAATTTAATTACAAAAGGATGGATTATTTTTATCATGAATGGTATATAAATGGTATATAAATGGTAAATAAATTAATATTTATTGTTGATTAATGTCGATTAATTAATTTGTAAGATGAAAATAATTAATGCAGTATGTATATTATTTGTGCCAAGTATATGTCAATATTTATTTTCTACTGGATTAAAGTAAATTACATTATGTACCATTGAACATTCAATCGCAGTATGAAAAATATTCATAATAATAATAATACGAATAATATTCATTATGATTGCATTATAATTTATGTCATTGAAATTGTTGTGCCAATAAGGTAAATAAATTCATATTTCTGTCTGCCTTGATTACGAAAATTATTAATATAAAGTCAGTGTTTATGTACAGTTTTTTAAAACTTTTTTATTCGTAGTAAAGTCCCACGAGGTTCTTACGATAATGTATTTGCTAATATTATATTCAACTTTGGTAAATAATATACATATGGTTGCTGCTAATACCTTTAAGTTATTTTTCTCATTAAACATTTAAGCATTTATATGTAAATTATGCCCTTTATACAAATATTGCTTTTATTTACTTACCTTCAACGCCTCCAAGACTTTAAAATTACTTTAAATTATATTTTAGCAGTTGTGCGACTGAATAAAAAATCTAGTCGAGCGGGTATTATGAATATGACCAATTTTCATAAGCTTAATTATTTCAGAAATCAAGTTTTCTTTTTATATACTAAGCACATATATACATCTATCTACAGAGAAAAGATATGGTTTTAAGTAGAAGTTTCGCTGCCTTCGTATCGCCATCTCCACCACACAACTTTCATACGATCCCACAAGTTTTGCCACGAATTCAATGCCGGCCTAACATCCAGCAATGCAAACTTATACTTTTCATCGACTTGTCCGCCGTCGTAGTAATCAATTACATATTTTACATTTGTACCGCATCTATCGACTACCCAATCGTGTCGATCGAACGGTAAACCATAACCCAACCAATAACGAATTCTCGCACGCGGTGAATAATCTTTAGCTTTGCCTCCAAAACTCTTTAATTTTGGAGTGCTGCATTCTTTGGCGTGCAACGCCTCCCACTTAAGTACCTCCAGCCATGCTTGCTCGTTATTAGCATTATGAATTTTGATGATGTCGTCCATGTCCTTTGATGAGATATCCTCGTCCTTCCAACGCCAACCTTTACGAAGCATCGCATTCCAAAACATTTGTGGCGATGGATAAACCCAAAATCCACCTTCCTCGCTGGCCTTAGGTATCGAAGATATTTGCCTATCCTTCGACAAGGGAAACGGCTGATCTGGCGCTGGATTTTGATTTTCTGGAGGCATCATGTTCAACGGATTAATATTGGACTGTTCATGCGCAACTGGACATTCGCTTGGTTTCTTAGGCTGTTCTTTATTTACTTTATGTATCGGGCAGGCAGAAACTGACTCTTTTGAAATGTTGGACTCTTGCGTTACCTTACTCGTGTTCTCCATTATTCGTAATGTACTATAAAAAAAAAAAAAATAAAATAAATAAATAATAATATTCATTTAATATTGTTTACTTATTAATTCGAAAGGGTGACGTAATGTACCAAACCTATTATTCTTTTAGACCAAAACTGTGTCAGCTCGTATAGGTTAGAATTATTAGGAATCAATAATTGACTCTAAATAGGCAGCACTCGAAAGGCTTTAGTAAATCAAAAGCCCATCGTAGTCTCTCGTTTTAATCACAATCTGTAAAAGAATTTAATCCAATTAAATCCTAAATAAATCACTTGATTGTCTTAAAAAAAAAAAGCACATACTTGCATTTAGTTCAACCCACAACCTCAAAATACCTAAACATAACTTAGTATGACTCGATTCAATATTCAATTTACCTCCTCGCGCCGTCTGGCCAACGTTAATGCAAAGGAAATTGAAACTTTGTCTCGAGAAATTAATTACCATCGACTTTATTCACGCACCGTATATTACATTTAAAAATGATAAAATTAATAGAATTTAATTAATTTAATAATATAATAATAATACTATTCGAGTAATAGTAGCCATATATTTCATTTGGCGATGCTTTGATTTTTTTATGATTTTTATATATATTTCCTATTTATGATAATATACCATTGCTTTGTAAAAAAAATAAACGTTTGTAATTCGAAATTAATGTATTATTGTGTAATAGCGAATGCTCGAAATCCTTGTAGAAAATATTTCTCGATACATAATTCAACATCTCAAGTATAAAATGAATATTTAGCGATATTTTTTATTACTCGATAGGCTCAACTTTTACCTATTATTTTTTGCTTTATGTATGAAGAAAATCGACCAATAATTAAATAATAATCCTTTAATCAGTAAATGAAATTATAAAGTAACGACAGCTTTGGTGGAAAATCAATGTTGGAATTGATCATCTCAATGAGAATTCGTGCTAATAAAAAATTTCTAATACTATTCGTTCTTGAATTTTTCTCTCACATTCAATTTTATAAAATCTATCATTTACCGAAGTACCCTGTACATCATTGCAATCATAATTGCATTATTTTAAATAGTAAAATAAAATGCGATATATTTTAAATAATAAAAATAATCTATTGTCTTCAAAAGGAAATTGCATGGACAAGATTTTATATGTCTTATTATTATCTTATTATTATCTCCGTATGGAGTAGAATTTTGTTAACGCTTGTAGTAATACGTTTTACGTCCCTACATTTTTCTTTGTTAATTACAAATTAAAAAAGATAGAAAATTAAAAATCATAATATTCACTAAGATATAAAGTTATTTGAGAGTGTAATTTGGCAATGTTCGGATGCATTAATCTGGAAGGCATAGAACGTAGATCGCCAGTCTTTTCTTAATTGTTACGTTTTGGTTGTCGCGGATGGATTGTGATGGAGTGTGTTCTTCGTATTCTATTGTCGAGCTGCCCCATTCCGGAAAAGCCTAAAAAAAAGTTTTCTCATATCACTGGCACGGTTCCAACAGTTCTCATAATAACAATTGAAAATCTTTGCCTTCCGATGTAAAAATTTATTCAAACGTTAACATTTTTAACTTAATTTATAAAACTAAAATAAAAGTTAATACTTTTATTTAAAGTTAGTTGACACGTTTATTCTTATTTAATTAATTTAATAATTAAGGTTTTTAATAATTAAGTAAAAGACAAGAAGATAAATGTGTCGTTACATTGACATTTTGGGGGAAAATTTAATTTAGTAGTATTTTTCAGTATGTAAAAGATTTTAAAATGTCAGAAATACATTATAAAAATTAATTTATTGTAATTATTGTTATTGTTATTATTATTGTTATTGTTATTGTTATTGTTATTGTTATTGTTATTATTATTTTTAACAAATTATTTGTATAAATGTGACAATACTCGTTTGTTACTTTCAGTGCTTCAATGAACTTTCTTCGTGGACGCGAATCGATGAAAAAATTAATCTAATCTTAAACGATGATTACAATTCTATTTGGCAAAATCCAAATAAGGACAGTCTACTGCCGTGGATATTTACAGCAAGTATTTTTATTTAAAAATATTTATTTCATAATCGCATGTTTTTAATATCAATCACACATTTGCCAACAATGCATTATGCATAAAAATGTTAAGAAGCTTCCTTTTCAAAATCAATGACTCGTCGATTACATCGATCATTAATTATTACGTGATATCTTATTGTGTCATTTGTTATAGATTAATTTACGCACAACAATTCGCGTGTTCTTATTCGAAGAATTTTATTAAGTATTTCATAAGAAGCTATAGCGTGAAATCGACAATAATAACATTATTTTCAATATAATCGAGAGTGACGTTCGTCTCGTCTCGTTACAGGGCCAGCTGCATAAGATGCTCGATGACCTTGAGACGAGCAAGCCCTCGAGGTTGCCTCTGATGGAGTATCTGGACGACTGGATAAGCGAGAGGGGAGTCGAGCTCACCAAGAAATTCGGCGATCAGATATCTATGCTGTACTTATGCAACGATCCTCCGTCAGAGGCGACGTCCCGATATTGCCTCGAGCAATGCCTCGACGGTGCAAAGGAGCGTTGGACAGACTCCGGCCCCTTCGCCGTCCGACTCAAACTCCGACTCCTCGATACATTCAATATAGCCAAGGACATCGATGCGTTTTTAAGGACACTCAGTTCGGATAATCGTACGAGTGCTCTCCGCAATCTCATGCGATATTGGGAAGACGATTCGGCTAAAACGCAATACGATTTTCACACCTGGAAATTGCGGATGAAATATAGGCTGGCCATCTCATTCATTTTGGTTAAAATGTTTCACAGCGCTGACGTAGAGCCAGAGTGCGTATTTTGAGAAACATTCAGAAACATTCAGCGATTTTCACTATTCACGCATCGGCTTCTTATAAAATTCTAACAAAATCGTATCTTAATAATCACTTAGCATGAAATTGTTTAAAGATCCTTTTAACGTCCCATTTTAATGGAAGACAATTAATTTAGATTTTACCTTAATAATACGATAATTTTTTTTAATTTATCATTATGTCATTATGCATAATAATGATCGCTGGCTAATAATAATAGGTCAATTTGCTTTTAGTGTACGGGCCGATTTATTGATATTAACCTGCAATCAAAGGCTGAAGATAACAGAATTGGCCATTAAGCATAGAAAGTATATTTTGGCGCAGAAGCATATATTGTCGATCAAACAGTCCCTTGACGAAATAGACGCGACGGGCAATAAGTTTGAGAAGTTCCATCACGAGCTCAGCTTGGTTTCTTCCACATATAACTTATTGCGCGGAAATGTTGAAAGTAAAATTGAGGAGAAGCTTTCTCGCTACGTTATTTCATGGAAGCTTGGCCAATCTCTCGTAACGAATGGAGCCGTCGACATTTCAACGAGGATCAAAGCAAAACATCAAATTTTCAAAGTCACCCTTGCTATTTCCGACTTCATGCAAAAGGATACGGAGTGCTTGCACCTCGTCACGCACAATCGATTCATTACTACAACACTCGACGTCACATCGTCAGTGGAAATCGAATATGCGCTTCACAATTACAGATACAATGCTCTGAAGAGTGTGTGCTACGAGGGGAGCATCGAGGAGATGATGAGGAGCCGTGAAATATTCGCCAAGTATTGTTACTTTATGATATCCGATAAATACGATCGAAATCTAAATGATTTAAAAGACTTTGTCGAGGCTGTGCTAACGGCTATGACTATAGGCTGTACGAGCATTATTTATTACTTTCCTTGCTTATTGAAGTACTTGCTTCATCGAAAAAGCGAGCAAAATATGCAGCTTTTCATTGATAATTGTCGCAACGTTCCCACATGGATGTTTTTATATTGGCAGGTAAAAAATGAGATATTTTTTAAAAAATTTGAAAAGTAATTTTATTGGTTCAATTGTTACAAGAAAGAAAGAGGCAGTGTTTTATCAATTAAAATTTTCATCCTTAAATATATATGTGTGCGTGCGTGCGCGCGCGCGCGCGTGCGTGCGTGCGTGATGCGAATCAATCGATATAGATAGATCGACGCGCAATGTTTTTAATAATCGATTTATAAGCCATTTTTATGTGTAATGTGTCGTGTAATGTGGAAAGAGGATTTTAAAATTAAATTTCCTATTACAGGAGCAGATAGTATCGCAGCTTGCATCGTCGCTCAAACCACTTGTTCTTCCAATTGTCGAAAGACTAGCGAAAGATTATCCCAGCGCAATAATCTACACTTTCAGAGCAATTTGCGAAGCCCATCCACGACTATGCGAGGATCCCGCGATAGATGCCGTGTACAAAACTCTCTTTGCCGATCAAAGGATAGAGACATTTTTCAATTCTATGAAGTATTTATGTCAACCGGAACAGTATCTGAAATATCATTTATTAAAAATAGTTCGAATGTCAAATGATTGCAGCGCGGTAGTCGAGGCCTTGGATACTTTTGTAACGGAGGTTTGCATTACTGTATTAGCGTGTTATTATTTGCTTATTTGCTTATGGAAATTTTATGCAAAATAGCCTAATATTTCAGGCAATTATGAATTAAAGAATTTTCGATTTTCAATTATTGAAGATGTATGGCATTCGTTCGTTTCAGATCCTCGCCGATGATCACATGATTTACATCAGAGGCGCGGTGCACAAGCGCGTCTTTACGAAGCATCGTAATGATCTAGAAAATTTAAAAAACGCGACAAATATGAGGGATCTGAAGAAATGCATCGAGCATTTTTGCACACGCCTCGACAAGGCCATGCTAACGAGAATAAACAACGAGAAGGAGTCGTTGCGCCTGGATAGTTATAGCCCTTATTTGTCCCACTTCTCGGATGAGGTAATTATGCTCGAAGTACCTGGCCAATACAGCAGTAAGGAAAGGCCCCTGGTTCGCCATCACCCGAGGATCGCCCGTATCGATGGTCTCGTTCAAATTCCCGACGGCTCATTAAGGATCGGCCTGATCGGTACCGACGCTCGCACATATCACTTCCTCGTCACTATTGAGTCGAGTGCGCGTCAGCAGGAGCGCGCACAACGCATTCTCGAAATGATGAACGACAGTCTGCACTCAGATCCTTGCTGCAAGAATAAGTTGCTGCGCGTGGTTACGTACTGCGCTGTGCCGCTCTCAAGATCAATGAGTCTCGCGCGCACGATCGACGGCACGAAATCTCTGAAGGAGTGCATCGAGTTTTCGATGAGCGACAAAACCGTCCTCGAGACCGTCTCCATGAAGTACAGGAATTGGATCGAGCAGGTCTCGAACGACAAGACGACTTCCAAGAGCCTCGTTTATAAAGATGCTCTGTTGAAATACGGCGCGGTGGACGTTATCGCGAAGATGAAAGAGCTCGATGGTTGCGTACCTTGGGACTTATTGCGCAAGACTTTCATTCGCTTGAGCTCTTCGGCCGACATCTTTATCCAAGTAAATTGACATTTCAATCTGACCTCAAGGCTTATTATATTCCAATTGTAAATTTGAGTATAAATGGCGAAATATTTCCCCGGCTATGCCTAAGCGGCAATTCGTTGCCGCCGAATAAATTTGACGTTATAGATAAAAAAAAAAAGGTTTATTCTCTCGAGATGTAAAATACTTGAATTTACATGTAAATATGACAAGCCTGTAATTATACGCGTGATTGCGTGCATGAGTGTGTACGTATATATATATATATATATATATATATATATATAATCAAATGTAATATTATTATCATAAACATGCAGCTGCGACAGAAATTTATAACAAGCTACGCCACTATGTGCATTGTCCATTGGATCTTGGGAGTTGGTAATCGACTTCTGGAAAACATTCACATTGAGATGAAAACGGGAAAATGTTTGGGTACAGATTTTTCTTTAATGTTCGGGGCAGGATTGGATCTGCCGATTCCCGAACTCGTGCCATTTAGATTAACGACCCAAATTTTGGGCTTATTGAGACCATTTCGTGAGCAGGATTTGCTCGGATCAATAATGAGTGACGTATTGCATGCCTTACGAAGCGATAAGAATTTAATTTTAGATTGCTTGGAGATTTTTATGTACGAACCCTTCGACTGGAATGAGAAAGTTAATCGATTATGGTGGGACGATGACGAAAAACACGAAGGTATGCGATTAATTGTATCATTGCTGTTATTGAAATAATTCCTCTAGGTCATTAAAACTAACGCGCGTTGAATTGCATTTACATGGAAAAATTATAATCATAATTAGATAATAATAAAAATAGAAGTTTTTCTTATTATCTAAATATTTTCTATTTGCCAATGAATAATATGCAATATTATAAACTGCTTCAATCAAGTATACCAAACTATTCCGAAGATAAACAAATTCATATGCACAATATCACACGTTTACTTATCAACTTACGCACTAATGTAATATTTCAGATGTTAAATGGATTTCAAAAATCAAAATGTCGATCTTGATGAAAAAATTAAACGGTGCTAAGCCTTCTAATATCATGCTAGAAGAATTGTCGTACTTGTACGAGAATACTGATTATAATTTGCAGTGTTTTGCTATATTTGGGTACATTATAAATGGAAACGAGCTTCATCACACAACCGCAAGAATAGCCTTAAACAAAAACGACTTGACAGCTAAGGAGCAGGTTCGATTATTTAAATCCCTTCATTTTTCCATAATATTGTCTTGATAATGGGATCTTATTTAATATTATAATCATTGTGGCTTAAAATATAAAGTTCGCTTGAATTAAATTCCAGTCAATCCATTCTTTTCAAGTGATACTTTTTTTTTTTTTTTAACTACTCTAGGTGCAATGCCTTCTGGATCAAGCGACGGATGCCAATGTATTAGGACGCATGTGGGTTGGATGGCATCCATTTGTATAATACTGGATTTAGTTATAGAATAATGTATTATTAACGAAATTCGCATCACGAAAAACAATAAGACTTTATATATATATTATATACATTGAATTAAAATAAATTTCTATATATTTTTACAAGCAAATGTCAATTTATTCACGTAGATAAGTATGAGTATTTACATGCGCGTGCGTGTTTGCGCGCCAGTCTACCTTATATTTTCAATGATGAAACGCATTATCGCTTTGTATTTATTCATTTTGATTAATATTTAAAATGTATACGCAATGAATACTTCAAAATGTTATAAGCTCTCTTGATAGATTCCTAGAAATAATTCTTAAAAGTTATACAAATCATGCGAAAAAGTAGGAAATAATTTTTATAAACATTAAAACATTTTTTTTAAACTTCGGTCATTACAATAATTCGATAAGAAAATATAAATACAGAATGTACTTTAAAGAAATATAAATACTCATTGCTTTCTTTATCTTTATTGACTATTTTTGTGCAAATCTTAATTTCCAATATCGCTGTATGCCATTAGCGACTAATTTTGCAAACGTAATGTCATCGATCTTTTTACACTTCTAAATTAATTGAGAAGTATTTAAACTTTGTAGAGTAATTAAAACTTGCGATATTATTTGTAGGTTGCCTATAATTTGAAAACATTAAAATGATTTATATTTTATCAATATAAAATGTAACATTAATTTCGAAAAGTAATCATATAATTGCTTCCCATTGAAATGAATAGCCCAAGAAATAAAATTTAAAGCTCATAATGTAAATAAAACATTCGAAATTTCACTAAATATCGTATTTCTAATTTGTATAATGCTTAAGGCATTAATAATATGAGATATTTTACAACATTAGCGATGCTATTGGCAAAACATGATATATATATATATATATATATAAATATATACATTTGCTATTGATGAAATGTTACGAGGAAATCATAGGGCAAGTTTTATAAACAAAATGCAATTTTATCGTAAAACTGCGAGATAAGCCATAAAAAAGAAACAATATGTGAATATTTTAAAATAATCAACGTAAAACATTACTTAGGCTTCTATGCTTCGGATTCTCTTATCGTTAAGCTAATTATTTAATTATAATACGAGTAACAATGAAGTTCGATTTAACTTATTTTTGCGTAGTATTGGGCGTCTTATTCCTTTTCTTCGATAACATTCACGTAAGTATATGCTAATAGTAATCAGTCAGATTGTAAAATCATAAATAACAATGGTTAATATTATTGAAATTCTTTGACGCTTAAATGGTATTTGATAATTATTCGTATACAGTAGCGATAACTAGGAAACAATTTATTTAGTTTGATTATAAATATACCATTTCGGTTCTAAATCCTAAATCAGGTTAAATTTGCCGATTGATTTTGATCTACAACGTCTACGTACGATAGTAAAGTAATAACTTAAATAACGTTGAAATTCCCGAACACTTTTAATCCTTGAGGAAGGCTCAATGTAAATACCGCTGAATCGTCTTCCTGAAAATTTTAATTTCGACTCCAGTCCATTGGCAACCATTATTATTGTCGTTCCCACTTATGTTGAAGCTGATGTTTGATTGTATCTATTAATATTAATATTAATATTATTATTATTCTTATGATTTATTAATTTTTTTAATCAGTTTCTCGTCGGCAGTTTAAATTGCCAAAATGGCCTTGGAAATCAAATACTGTTCCTCTAGTATTATCTCTATAATTCAATTTTATTTATTTACTCTGAGCATATTATGCTTATTTCTAATTTACAGCAATCGACGACCTCGTGCTCCTCCTATTCCTTACAAGAGCGATATATTTTCATATTTCGTTGCTTATGCGTACAATATTGTTGTTTCAAGCTCGCGGTTCTGCCTATGTGGCCTAACACATTTACGATTATATCGTTCCTTCCCTCCTATATAGATGTCCACGAGCATGCTATTGTAATTTGGTAATATGGTCGGGATCGTGATTATTGCAAATACTCTAATTATAATATTAATTGCATGAATTTACGCAAAGCGTATCCATTGCTGTGGAATTTAATTGTTATTTTCTCCATATGATATGCATTGGCGTGTAATGAAATGTATGTTGGGTTGCCAATTTCAGGGGACTAGACATTATTAATACAATTGGTTGACGTACGTGTGTCATGGCAAGTTTAATTGTCTCATTCGAATTCCTCGAATATCCCTCTCGTATTTATCAATTATTAATTATGCATTCGATTGATAATACATTGATTTTTTTTTTACTTTACCCACAATAATCACAACATTATTTATTTTCCATTCGCACTGATTGTTTTCAACATTTCAATTGTGTCTGCGCAGCGTCCGCACACCCTTTCTCCGTAATATAATCGCCTAATGATGATGAACATTATCATCGTTTTTACTTGATACATTACACCGTTTGTTACGTCAATAGGCTGATGCTGTGTTATAAGATTGTATAATAATAATTTATCATATACAATTTATGTCGTATTGCAATAATTGCGCGTATTGTAATAATTAGCGAACTTTCCCGTAGTTTGCTTTGCCAACGATAAATACTCATCCGAGTAGTTTATTTCGATTGCAAAACAATAATTTTTGAATTTGTTGAATTTCAATGGCTTATTTGAAGTACGTTAAAGATCGGGATTTCGTGTATATTTTGATCGCATTTATTCTTATCATCGAACCATCAGAATTTAAATATTTAACAACTTTCCAAGACCCTGGACTTCTTAGGAAGTGATTATAACGACACATTTTCACATTGTTGTTACGTTAACTTATCATCTACCAATTATGCTACAACTATTTTATCGTGAATTTATACTTTCAATTACTCTTTTATTTTGACCTTTTATATACATAATTACTTTTTATAATGATCTTTCGATTACCAAATGAAAAAGCAATGTAAATGCATTTTCAAATAATTAAATCCAATTGCTTGTTAGTTAATCATGATGACTATGAGCGCAAAATGAATTATCCCTCTTATGCTGTTCTTATATAAATGTATTATAAATGTGTATTACGTGTGTGAATATGTTATCATTTTATCTCATCGTTATATCGACATGTCGGAAGGTCGTAACGGCCGCTTAATAGATCACAGCCTCTTTCTCGCTTGCGTTTTGGCTCTTCGTCTTGATTAAAATGAGACATACGTCAATCGTATGTGTAGGATCGGCTCGGTTGTCTTGCTTGGCTCGCAATTTCAAATAAATCCATATATTATTAAATGTTATATTGCTGAATTAATATATAATGGTTGGTATGTTTGTCTCATGGGACAACTACTTATAGAGTATTCGATGATAATAATGTCATTCCTGGTGGTCGATGGTAATGCTTATTAACAATACTCGCCCACGCCACTATTATTTTTCATGAATTCCTCTATCGACTGAAAAGGTGATTTGGTATCTTGTGTTTATATTATTCTTTATGATAATTAGAAATGAAAGATGAAAATAAAAAAATAAAAAAAAAACGAAAAAAAACAAAACACGTATTTACTGAAATTAGATTCATTAATTTTGTATAGATGGAAATTTTTTAATTTAAAAGTGCATCAGACGTAGAACGATTTTATACGTGGAATAATGCTTAGTCGAGAATTTATGAAATGAAACCATTGACGTGGAAAGAAGAAGAAGACTCGTTTAATTCATTGTAAATAGTATTTACAATGGCGATTGTGGATTAAAGTTTTATACTTTTGTGTTTATTAGAATATGCGATTCAAGTGTTTTTAATTAATTTTTGGTAATTTTGCAGGAATCAACGTTGCAAACGATATTTTTAATCTAATAAAAAGAGAATTATGGAAAATTTTCCACAATATTTTATGATCTAATACTATGTATCATGCAATTCACAATTTTTTAAAACAACAATCACATTTTATAAACAATTTACAAATAAAGAACATTGCGAGTCTTGTACTTAAAATAGAGTCTTATGTTCTATAATATTTTATGTGTAATTACGACGTTATTGCATCTCATTTCCCTATACTACCAGCATTTATTTTTTTGAGTAAATTTGTGGATAATTATTTTGCCAATTATTCACGAATTATGTTAAACTGTCATTATTCGACTCTTAATGCAATAAATCTCATTGCAATACAGATTTTAATTATGAATTATCTATTCAACTTTAATTTTTTCATTCTTTCGATCGCTTAGCGATTTCTCATATGTTGAAACGTCAACGATTATATTGACAAATACGATAAATATATGATTGCTATTGATGACATTTTTGATCTTACAAAAGTGAGAGTCAAGCAAAATAAAAGTCATTTGGTTGCTAAGCTTCGGATTCTCTTATCGTTAAGCTAATTATTTAATTATAATACGAGTAACAATGAAGTTCGATTTAACTTATTTTTGCGTAGTATTGGGCGTCTTATTCCTTTTCTTCGATAACATTCACGTAAGTATATGCTAATAGTAATCAGTCAGATTGTAAAATCATAAATAACAATGGTTAATATTATTGAAATTCTTTGACGCTTAAATGATATTTGATAATTATTCGGAAATTTAAAGTTTGCTCATTTTTCCATTTTTCAAACCTTTCAAACGACCTTTTTACATTGGAAATATTATCTTTCATCACTCACACTAACTAATAAACGTAACTTTGGTAAACGTAAATTTTTCACAATTACGAATAGCCAATTAATAATTAACATTATATGTTTGAAGCGTAACCAAATCAGTACTTGTCCCAAATTATTTATAAAACCGGTATATTAATTAGGCAATATTAATATTTAACGAGCTATATATTTATATAATATATAGAAACTATAAACTTGTATATAATTTATGAACGCGTTAGTGTTACTACATTTTATTTGCCTCAAATGATATATCTTTACGATTACATGATATTAAAATAAATAATAGATAATGTATGTAAATCGCCCGTATAAATAATATAAACAAAGATAGTGATGGCAAAACGTAAATAAAAACAATATCGTTTTATTTGAAATTATTTTTGCATTTTAGGCCGATGTGCTACCGATCGAAGGTGATTGCACAAAGTACCAAATATGCGATCAAAATGGATGCTTTCTATTGAGTTGTGGCGATGGGACAGAATTCAATCCAAAAATTAAAGTTTGTGATTATCCGCTGCAAGACCGAACCTCTTGCAGAAATCGTCCCAACTGATTCGAGCATTAAAGATGAAAAATTTCTGTTATAAAATGATGATGTAAGACTCGCAAATATTATCTTGTGAAAATTGGAAAATTCAGACAAAATAAAATACGCTTATCACGGGCATACTTGGCTATGCTCAATCAATTATATTTTGTATAATGTGCTATCGTAATATACCAATATTCAATCATATTTTATAAAAGTTAAATAGAAAATTCCTATCAGATTTTATGGTAACTGACTGTTTATTAAAATGAAAATTCTATCGATGACAAGAGCAATGACGATGAGATAAAACTGCGTTTCTCAATTATCAGTTTCATAATTATTCAAAAGTTTTGAAAATCTGTATTTTAACGTTAAAATTTGTGCTAAGGCCATTAAAATCTTTTTTACGAAGTGTAATTAGTTATAAAATAAAGAGATAAAATTAATCTTCAAAGAGCATCCATTGGAATGACATAAATTTCTTAATACCAAAACATTCATTTTTAATGCTACATAATATTAATATAAAAATATATAAAATTCATTATTTTAGGTATTGTTTATTTAAGCTTGTTAAGGGTGCTCGAAGGAAAGTAATATCGAAAAGACTTAACGAGTGAAATATATTGATAATGAAAATGCGATAAAGTAAGAATGTAAAAGCTTTTTTATGTAATTTTTATCTCAATATAATATATAATGCAGAAAAAAATTTATTTTAAAAATTCAAACGAGCTAAAATAATTTCTCTCTTTATTTGAATTATTTAAATTAATTCTACTATGGTATTAGTCAAATAACTGAAATTAAAATATTTCATTCGTGTGCCTTGTAATAAGAAACCTTGTCTGTATAATAATAATAAAAAAAAAAAAAAAAAAAAAAAAAAAAAAAAAAAAAATCGGCTTTTTGAGGAAAAGGGAATAATTTTTTTTATATGCTTTACTGTTTACAATTGGAGAATTTCAAGAAGTTATTAAAAATATTATTATACTTAAGATAAACATACAATATAAGTATAAAATACAAAAATTTTAATGACGTTATGAAAGATTTCTTAAAAAAAAAAAATTAGAATAATTTCGATATTGCACTATTATGTACTGCAATTTTGTATTAAAAATATATTAAAATATATTTGATGTAATTAACTCATTTTTATTCATTCACACCGTATTTTTATTTTAATTTCATATTAATTTTGAAACATACACACTTTATCAATATTCATAAATATTTTTCATCTACTAGGGCATTCTCATAAAAATTTATAATGATTTTATGATAATTATCGAAACAGTGAATGTATATATATGATGAAGCAATACATATAAACTTAAGAACCAATGTTAGTATTTTAAATAATTTGTAATAAAAATACTCATTACAAAGTTTATTGCTGAGAATCATAAAAAAAAAAAAAAAATAAGTTAATAATACACAACGAAATTATTTGATAAACATATATATACATTAGAGAATGAAATTATGCAGCTCACTGGTGTTTGTACAAATTAGTAGCAAAGCAATTGCATTGTTAGTTTTATTTTTAACTACAATATCTACGGAATCTTAATTCAAGAGCGCGGATCTACTTTTATTTTTATAGATCAAGCAATTTATCTACGTTTTCAATATTTACAGAGATTTAAGACGTAATTAATTCTTAGTCTTAGTCTGATAATCAAGATTTTCTCAATTACTAACGTAATTCGCTAAATGCATTAGTTGCATCGTTTTTCAAAATATAATAAACATACTAGCATAATTGTCGGATTAAGCTGTTCGTCGTGCACGATGAATTTGTATTTGTGTTTAAAAGTTTTATATTTAAAATAATATAAATGCATATGACAAGGTTTTTTATTGATTTTTTTTTTGTTTTTGTTTGTTTTTTTTTTTTTTTTTTACGTTGACATATCATTATCGATCAGTGCGATGAAAATATTATTCTAGTAGATTTCAGCTAATTTCTTAGATGTAAGATAGTAAGATTTTTCATTAAACAGAAAGATTAATTAATCATTACACTATCTATGAACAATATAATAAATAACAGTAACAGCTTGATATTATTAGATCGTTTTATAAATTAGTTAATATTGCCAACAATCATGATTGTAAACGATTTTCATATATTATCTGCCAGACTCCCGACTTGATTGATTATTAACCTATTTCTATAACTAGTTTGACCTTTGTTTTTAATTTAATATTAGTAGAATTTGAAAATAATTGTAATGAATTTACAACTTAATTTCTACTACACCTTCTCTATAATAATAATTAATCGAGCAAATAACAAAAATTGCTTCGACAGTGACTTTATATCTTTAATACATTCTTTTTTAATTTTCTATTCGATATTTTAATTATAATTCAATTTAATCAAGACATTATATTCGTAAAATGTCCAATCAGGATTAATGTACGGATTTATTAATTGTATATACAAATTTTTTCCATTATAATGTTTATAGTTACGCAACAAATTTTATTAGAAATTTACATTTTTTAAAAATTCAACTTATACCTCTAAAAACCGAGCATTTATTATTATTATTTTTCTTTCTTTCTTTTTTTTACAACAAATTCTTCTTCCTCTAATTTTATACAATTTTATTTAAAATATCTTTTGCGTTTATATATTATTGCATTATATTCAATAATATTTTTAAAATTGTTTGAATGAAATTATAATAAGGTATCAAAATGTATATACATTTCCTTTTTCATTGATTTTTTTTTAAATTTTGTCTTAATATTATTATCCTTTAGTAATTAAATACTTTTTAAGCAAATTAAATTGTAAATAATATTAATTGTTAAAAAAGAACAAAAAAAAAAAAAAAACAAAAAAAAAAAAAATGACGATCTAATAATTACATTACCTCCTCTTTTTATTTACGAAAACCAAAATAAAACATTTTATTGTAAAATCGTAATTGAAATAAATATATACAAGAAATATTAAAAGCAAAAGTTTAAATATATGAAAAAGGATTTTAGATTTTTTGAAGAATTTAAAATAATTAAAAATTAACGAAGATCGGTCTCGATAAATCTTTCCATTTAACCTGGCAATAATAATAATTAATAAAGTAATTAATATTATTTATTATTACATTATGTTGATAAAAAGGAAATGTTATCTTTGAAATATGTGTTAATATTTGTTATAAAAGTATTTGTATTCTATCATATTACTAAGAATTTCGTCCTTTGTTCGCTCTCACTCTCTCTCTCTCTCTCTCTCTCTCTCTCTGTCTCTCTCCCCTCTCCCTCGCCCCTCTCCATCGCCCTGTCGCTCTTAACCTAAAATAGTTTTTAATATCGTTTCATAGTGTAAATTTAATTATGTATTTACATATTTATAATTCTTTAATTACACTTAAAGACAGTTAGGGATTACTATGCATTTTAGAAATTCAAAAAAAGGTCTAATTTACATGTTTCGACAGAATTGTCGATTTTTATCTGTGCATCAAAGTATTAAGTGTAACAACAGTGACAATTTAACTAAATTTTACAATACGAATTTCAATCAATTCTCTTGCTCTCCCATTTCGAAATGCTTTCCTCGAACAATTTTATGCAGCACACATATACCAGCATTGCAAAGAAGAGATATATCCAGTAATGTATCGGATATTAAAAATGTTAATGGATCAACGCTTGATTCACCTATATTTGAAGAAGCTGTGGATTTGGCAGTGCCAACTCTATCAAAATTTGTAAAATTTGTATCAGATTCGAAAATAGTTGAATTAACGCAATCATCGCTTTTAAAAGTACATGAAATAACTGGTTTACCATGGTGGGCGTCCATAGTAGTTACATCATTCGCTGCCAGAATTATTGTTACTTTACCTCTTCATATAAGTCAGGTATTTAAAATATTAGTTTGTACAAAATTTTATTTCTAATTTGTGATTGATGTACTTGAGGACGTAATTTGTTTAAAGAAAATTAATTTGATTTGTGTATCAAATGTCGTATTGATTAATTGACAGATACGTAATGCAGCGAAGCTAGAAATTATTCAAGTAGAAATGAAAGATACTGCGCAAAGGTTACAGATGGAAGCGGTGTACTTGTCTCGGCATAACAATTGGCCAGAAAGTTGGGCAAAAGCAAATTATTATTCAAAAGTAAATATTAATATGTATCAATAAATGATAATCAAGATTATAAATATAAATATTGTAATTTGAATATTGTAAATTTCATATTATAATTTAATATAAAGTGATTATCAAATGTTATAAAATAGTTTATTTATAAATTTTTAAACGCTAGTGCTCTTATGTAATCTTGATGATTTTTAAAAAATTTTTAAATAGTTTCTTCTATTTAGATAAGGGAAGAATACAACAATTTAATAATAAGGGATAACTGTCATCCTGCAAAAAATTTTATTCTCCTATTAATACAAATTCCAATGTGGGTTGCATTTTCATTTTCTACAAGAAACTTATGCTTCATGCTTCCTGTACCAGACACTTGTATGTATTATTTCAATAATAAATATTAATTTTAAAACATTATATATATTTTATCACAAATATTAACAATTTATAATCTAGATGCTCAACTAACTTATTTGGAGTTGACAGTCGGTGGCTTTGGTTGGGTTAAAAATCTTACAAGTGTAGACAATTACTTGATTCTACCATGCACCATAGGATTATTAAATTTATCTCTTTTAGAAGTATAATTGCTTTACATTATTATTATTTTTCTTTCAACACGATAATTATATAAGAAATGATTTATTTTAAGATTCATCGATTATTTAAACCAAAAAAACAAATGAAATTTGAAAAATGGATTAAAATACTTCTTCGAATTTTAATTGTAACGACAGCATATTTCGCTACATATTTGCCCGCGGTAAGTAATTTTAAATAAATATTAAATTGTAGTAAACAGTCTAATATTAAAATATTATTGGTCAAATATTAATATGCAAAAAAATTACACGAGTTCTTAAATTCTGCAGGCAACAAACATTTATTGGATGAGTAGCAGCTTGTATGGGCTGATTCAAGTCTTCATTACAAACTCAACACGCTTACGACGTTTATGTAAAATACCAATTGTTCAATCTGAGTCCAAGCATCCGTATAAATTCTTTTACAACAATCTGAGAGCAAAGCTATTGAATAAGGCAGTGAAAGAATAGTTTCAATAATTTCACTTTTACGCTTCTTTTAGACTTGGAGGGGATTATGTATAATTGTGCGTATTCTTGTTATATTGATTTAATAAATACTACTTAAAGTATGATATTGCGATGAATTGACCGAAATTAAGAGACTTAGTAAATTACGAGAATTAAAGAGAGAGAGAGAGAGAGAGAGAGAGAGAGAATAAGGAAAAGGACATTTGAGGTTGATAAATTTCAATGGGACGTTGAATTTCCTAAATTAAGTTATATTATTTCTGATGTAATTAAATTAAAAAACTAGTACAGTTTACTACTAATATCAGTTTATTTATAAAAATTTTTATGTTTTTACTTTAAATTGAATATATGTATATATATATATATTTTTTTTTTTTTTAATTGATTTTATTGTAAATATTTAATATTGATTTATAGAAACATATAAACATTGTACTGCACTGTATAAATAATAGTGAAATGTTTTTTTTCAATTTAGTATCTCATAAACTATTATAAGTCATTTAACAGTAAAGTGTCAGTGCAAAGTAATCAAATAATACGTTAGAAAAATGTATTTGAAAAGAAATTTGAAAAATTATCTTTTGAAATTTATGATTCTTCAAATTAATTAAGAAATTTACAATTTTGTCAACAAACCTAATTCTAGTATAATGTATAATATACTATAAAATTTTAAGATATTTTGTACATAAATTATCATATTATACTTTATATCTTTTATTGTCTATAATTAATTGTTACTACGAATAATAATTTTATAAAAAAAAAATTGAAGCTTTTAAAAATTAATGAAAGTAGCGGAATGACATTATATTTATTAAAAAATCAAAAGAAAAATAATTAAATAAGTTATTTTTACATTTGAATAGTAATTCAATAATTTTTTAATGATATAAATATGTATAAATTAAAATTCAATAAAATCGATTTAACATTATGAAAATCAATGGAATAATGTGAAATTAAACATGTTTTCTACCAATGCCATTGCCAATGCCAATGCCAATGCCAATGTATGCCAATAAACTATCTGCATTTTATAAAATATAAATATGTTAAAGAAAAAATTATGTTGTTATATTAGGAAATTATCAAAAATACTTTCGTCTTGTAATTTTATAAATCTTGTTGTTTTATTTACTACTTAATTAATTCTCATTATTTTCCACAATTTTAATTTTTGCAATTTATCATTGTTTCATTGATGTTTCTTCTCCTTACATTACACGGAAAACTTTATAAATGTAATTAATATAATTACTTTGTGTGTGTTACTGAATATACATAGAATTATATACATAGAAAACATTCAACCTATTGTTTACATTAAATCATTTCATGAAGTTTCAGATGAAGATTAAAGAAAAATGTTATTTTCATAAATGACATTGGGAATTCGAAGTCGAATAGTAATTAATTTATAAATAAAAATTAGATGAATATAGTCGTTATTGATGAGGGGATCAATAACGAAAATTGATAATAAAATTGTAATTTTTTTTTATTAATTTATTGTTTTAAGCAATCAACTATTCAAAATACTTTTGTCGTTTTATCTCTTGAAATTTTCAGTGCCAATGAAGAAATTACTGGTGAAATTGTATACATATATATTATTCTTGCAATTATCAAATAGTTTGATAATAAGGTAATAAGTGTTGATATTTTCTAAATATAGACATGTTTACCTTACAATTTTCAATGTGATAATTATCTAACTGATTATTTAATTGATCTAGGTTTTTCAATAAGTATCTTACGATCGATAATTATTTTATTTATTTTATGAATATGAAAAGAAATATTCTTTTAAAAGAGTAACTATTACTGTAATTTCGTGGAAAAATTTCTCTATATAATTTACTTCAATTATATTCGAATATTTACATATACCCACACATTATTTAATTTCATTTATAAAAATCATATAAATAAAAATATGTCAATTATACTGCCAATATAAACACTGTTTATACCAATAATTTGCATTAAACAAACAGTTATGAATAAATTTTGTAATAAATTAAAAATTTTATAAATATAAAATTGAATTACATCCTTTTCTATAATAAAAAACAAAAAACAAAAATGATACTTATGGTATAAAAGTAGATTTTCTTATTTATACTAAAAATATTTCAAATTACTGCACTATTTTTACGCATTTATGTGCGTGAATGAAAAGTAATTATGAAAGTACATAAAGAATAGATAATAACGGAATAAAATAGATCGTAAAAAACAAATTATTAAAGCAAAAGAAGATTAATTAATGCATGATTTAATTAAAAAAATTTATTTTTTAAAACTATTGCCCATGTTGGTATAAAATATGAAAAGTGTCGTAAGATCTGCGTTAACGATTATTTTAATAAATTTTTCGTAGATCGAATATTAAATGTGTGTCATTATATATAATTTAAAAAAATTTATCCAATCTTAATTATCGATCTGCATAAGTGAACGAATAATGTATTTTTATCGATGCAAAAATGTAAAAAATGTAAAAAAAAAATGTTTTGATTACGGGAATAAAAAACTATATTTAATAATGTGGAATATAAAAATCATTTTCTAGGAATTTTAATAGTCTAGAATGCGAAAGAATTATCTTATTGATGTTAATGCAATTTTATTGCAGATCTTTTCTTGTTTATCGATAAATGTCTGACTCTAGCAGTTTGATAGTTTAACTAGTAGCGCACATTTTTATACGAAAATTATTTCTTCTTTATATTACAGGAATTGATCTATACCTGATTTATATAAATTAATATATAAATCGATAGATTTGATTGTCAAAACGATGTTTTTATATCGACTGAAATTGAAATAATTTTGTAGAAAATATATATTCATTTTTGGTATTCGGTATAATTATAACGTTTTATTAGTTAATTTTTAGGATATATGGTAACTAATGCTATATTTATAGAATGAATTATTTAATAATCGTAAATATAGATCATAATTTTTTATGGATTTATGTTAAAACTGTTGTTAAATATAAAGAGAATTCTATAATAGAAGATAATTCCATCAGAATGATAGATATTTATAAAAAATTTATTTAATTTATTATCAACTTCGAGAGAAGACACCTATCAATCATACAAATTATGTTCACTTTTTTTTTTTTTAAGTATTCTGATGTTAAATAAAAAAAATCATAATCAACGTTTTTCTTTTTGAAAATGTAATATTTTTATGTGCTACCTGGATAAGGGATAATTTATAAAATTTTGGTTAGCGATCGAATTTTATTCTATTGATCTATTATAAATAATTAAAATAAACCTATTACTATTTATAGTGTTTTTTTATTTTTATATTTTTTTATTAACTAACTTATATAATTTTACGTCGT